TGTGTGTGTGTGTGTGTGTGTGTGTGTGTGTGTGTGTGTGTGTGTGTGTGTGTGTGTGTGTGTGTGTGTTGTGAGAGAGCACAGAATTGCTACACTTCAAAAGTGTTGCCTGGAGGTTATTAATCACATTAACAGGGAGCAGGCAGGATTAAATATTAACTGAAAGTGTTGGTGAGAACAGCAACAGGAGAGACGAAGAGGCACAAAATGTGCAGTTTGTTCATCTGTTCTCCCTGTCAGCATGATTACAGATTACTAATTAATAAATACCAAGGTATGAGTTAATGAGTGTTTGTGGACATTTTCTAATTAGTAAATGTGTTTTCTGTCAGGAATCAGTGATGGAAAAGGAAAATCAGACTTTTGTTAACGCTCGCCTTTGGAAAAAAAACAATTTAGTGGAAAAATAAATCAGTTGAAGTACCTGTTTGCAGTGCTGAACCTGAAATGAACATTTATTTGAATTGCAAATCAACTACTGATTATGAACTCAATATTTTTTATTCCCTTTTGCCTCACTGTGTTTTGGGGCAGGGGTTCACCAAAAAATGATGTTTTTTTTGTTCCTGAAATGTCAGCTATGCTTCTTTTGTTGCCCAGGATCTTGTTTACATCACAATATGCATCAAATTATTCAGAAATATTTTTAAAAAGATAATTTATTATTTGGTAATATTTTATGTGTTTTTTTATTATTTTAAATAAACAATATTTAGTAAATATGCAATGAATTTGCATAAAGTGGTTGTCCAATGCTATTTTACACAAAGATTTTACTAATTTGAGCAGATTTTTTTTGTTAATCTCATTTTTGTCTCATCTTCTTTAGTTTTAATTTTCTATTTACTGTTTATCTCATTTCTGCATCTCAGAAAATAGACTTTAAAAAATATCTGTTAATTTATAAATCACTGAATGGATTAATATCAAAATACATCAAAGATTAGTTGTTGTTTACACCTTCCAGACCACTCAGGTCCATCCACAGAACCAAAATCAAACATGGAGAGGCATCATTCAATTTTTATTCTCTAATCTGGAAAGAACTCCCAGATATCTCTAAGAATGCTGAATTTTTTAATCAAGGTTAAAAATTAATTTGTTTAAAGTCGACTCTTCGTTTTGAAATATTAACTCAAACGTCATTAATTTCAGTCTGTGGTCCAGCTTTTCTTTATTTTCTTAATTTTGTTACTATATTATGCTTTTATGTTAATATTATAAATAAAGCACTTTGAGTTGTCTTGTTACTGAAAAATGTGCTTCATAAGCTGTCCTGATGCATCTCAGTAATCCAGGTAAAAAATCAAAAAGAAAAATATTTTCTTTTTGAGATGCAACCTTCAGGTGAAAATGAAGACCCCAAACCAGTGGTTATTCCGAATGTTGCGGGTGTTTCGGAGAAACTGAGACGTGTATTTTCTAAACATGATGTCCCAGTRGCTTTCAAACCCCAAAACACATTACGGCAAGGCTGGTTCACCCCAAAGATCCGGTGCCCCGGCACAAACAGAGCAATGTTGTATATGCTGTTAAGTGCCAGGAGGACTGCGACCAGTTACACATCGGGGAAACAAAGCAGCCACTGTTCAAAAGAATGTCCCAACACAGACGAACTATGTCTAATGGCCAGAACTCTGCAGTTTTCACTCATTTACAGGCCAGTGGTCACTCTTTCAGAGATGAGGATGTTCTCATTCTTGATAGAGAGGAACGTTGGTTTGAGAAAGGAGTAAAAGAAGCCTTTTTGTGAAGAAAGACCGTCCATCATTAAACAGAGGTGGGGGCCTCCGTTTTCAGTTGTCCCCCTCCTACAGCGCCGCCATTGCCATTATCACTCCACCCCCTGTTAACAATAAGTGTTAATTAGGTGTCAAGGATAGCCATGTGATGTGAGTATCAGTCACATGGAGGCAGGGCTTAAAAGCCTGAATTTTGCCTGAAACTCTCAGACTGAAGAAGTCTCTTGGAAGAGAGACAAAACGTTTCATTAGAGAAGAACCCGTCCAGARGACCTATACAATTTTTTTCTTTTTGCTTCATAAGCTAATTCTGCAAAGATCTAGCACACTTTCTTACTTAAAAGCATTAATGACTTCAAGTTTACTTTAAAAAATTAAGTAGAAATCATATAACTTTAAATTCTCACCAAGCGTCTATTCACAGCAACACATTTTATTTAATTAAATAAATCTGACTCCGGTCCAAACGTYGCTGTGTTTGAATAAAGCAAAAGGCTTTCGAACTCTTCCACCATCGTCATCATCAGAAGCTGCGATGGCAGTTTAACGTGAGCCAATGTGACAGCAGGAAGTCGCATCTTTCACAACTTTGTTTGGGTCCTGTTGGACCTGGCAGAAACAATCAGTAGCTCCTCGGGGAGCCAGAGGAAACTCTGCTCAGCAGATKGTTCAGTTATAGGTGCTAATTACTTCCAGGAATCACTTTTCTAGAACCAAGAAAATATTGAATTTTTCTACCATCTACAACTTTCTGTTCAACCTCTCACAGCAAACTTAACATGTTAATCAATGCTGTGAAACAGGAGGGTGAGAAATTGTGCTAATTGTCTTCCCCAGGTGGGCAACTTGTTTTGATCTCTTTTTCTGAAATGGTTTTATTACATCAAATCACATTACGTGATGCCATTTATTTAAGAAGTACTTTTGTTTAAAGTATTGCAGCTCTTTTACATTTTGTACACTTAAAATTAAATAAAAGTTTTAAAAAAGTGTATTTTTAGCTCAATAAGTTGGACTGCCAACGTTTAATTTGAAGATTACTGGTTTAATCCCCATCTTTCTTTGTCCATGTGTTAATTTGATCATTGGCAAGTGACTCCCTAAAATGTGCGCCTTAATGTGTTTCTTGCATCTCAGATATGTGTTTCCTATAGAAATGAAAAACAAACTGCAACATAAGTAAAACATATTTGACGTCTTGACTCAACTTTTGAGAAAATATCAACAATGTCAAATAAAGCTTTTTATAATACAGAAATAATCTTAATAAGAATAAAATTGTCCAACATTCCTCACTAAAACCTGCATCCAGTAMTTCAAAGTAATAAATCAGATACTCACTGGTTATTTACAAAGGCGTGTTTGTTGATGGTCTCGATGACGGACCTGAATGGGATCTTGGAGGTCAGAGTGTAGCCATGCTGGACCATCGGCTCTCCATCCGGACCATCCCAGCAATCAACTACAGGAAATAACAGGTTAGAAAACATGTTAAAATATATAAAATGCAGCACTTTGAAACAGTTTAAAACATTTTGTTATACATTGCCTCTTTTAAAGTGGTATTTATCAGGAGTTTTTCAGGCTTTCTGCGGGTATTTCAAAGTTTTTTGTTAGATTTTTTTGCTGTTTTTTTCACTAATTTTCTGTCCAGTCTTTGTATCTAACCATGACTGAAGATTGCACAGTGACAAATAAAGAAAGAGGACAGTGAAGGACAAAAATACAAGAGTTTGGTCAAAACACGAGCTGATAAATAATATCTGAAAGTTATGTCTTAAGGAATTAAAAAACAACCTGACTCAGGACCTAAAAAAGTTACATCCTTATAATGTTAGACTTTCGCCTGATAGCTCTTTAGTGATCACCTTTGTCAAACTATTATATTTGGTGTTTTTAAAACACCAAAAGGCCAAAAACCTCTGTTTTGTTTTGTTTTTTAATTAGTGTAGTTATATGTTTAATGTGTTGACAAAACACTAATTCATGCTTTGAGTTTAGGAATATTTTTGGGTCTTTTTAGGTCTGAATGAATCATAGGTCAAAATGTATTAAATTTAAATAAAAAAAAATATTCCTTGGAAATTTGTCAGAAACACTAAAAATCAAGACCAGTTTAAAAGACAACAAGAAACAAAATATGAAGAAAGGATGAACAATTCATGACTTTTGCACATATATGTGCAGCACTGTACATGTGAACAGAGAGGAAGACAAATGATGAAGAGGACAAAGTCAGATGGAGGGTGATGACTCATTGTGGCAAAACCCTGAAGAGGGAACAGCAGAAAGAAGAAGAAGATACAGTATGTACTGTAAATGTGATGGATGTACTGTGTGTACATTTCTCATATGGAAATTAAATATTTGTTGCTAGAGAAGCTTCAAAATAGAAATTATTACAGTACATATTTTTTGTTTGTTTTTTGGTCTGAGCTGGTACTCACACACAAATTTATTTATGATCTGAGGATTAAAGAAAAGTATTCTATTTGGCAGCATGATGGCTCAGTGGTTAGCACCGATGCCTCACATCAAGAAGGTCCTRGGTTCGATCCCCGGTTTGGGCCTGGGGTCTTTCTGTGGGGAGTTTTCTTGTTCTCGTCGTGATTGTGTGGGTTTTCTCTGGGTACTCCGGTTTCCCCCACCCCCCAAAATCATGTACAATAGGTTGCCTTCAGGCCTCCTTTGAAAAATAGATCTGAGATCTCAACGGGACTTGCCTGGTTAAATAAYGGTAAATAAATAAAGAATAAATATTGCCGTGTCAGTGTTGTTTTCAAAGCAGACATATTGATTAGTCACAGTAAAAGAGTCCCAGGGTGTCACTAACAAGACCGATGATGTTTTGTTCTGTCAAATGTCCCGACGAGCCATGAAAAGTGAAATAGCACAATTTTACCCTGACAGAGCAGGACGTGGATTGAATTTAAACAAGCATCGAAGCTTCAGCTGTTCTCGTTATTTCTTCCTGTGTTTTTACAATTAACCATAGATTGGTGCGAACCAACCTTCCACACATCTACAGCCGGACTGCAGCACCCAGGCGTACATGTCGGTCTTGGAGTGGGACAGGAGCTGGTCTCCCGTCAGGTAGGTGTTATGAGACGAGGCGATGAAGTAGTTACACAGAGGCTGCTCCATGTCTTGGTTCACCTCGTGGTGCAACGGGTTGAAAATATCACAGGCTGGACTGCGCATGAAGCTTGTGAAACCTGAAAAATGAGACAAGTTTAAGAGAACTCAAAGTCAGAATCAAAAAGATTTTTTTTTTTTTTTGCTTGTTTATATATGACGCTCAATTTCATTCATCTAGAAAAGACACTTTCAGCCATGCTCGATGTGATAATTGCCTGTCTGCCGATGTGTTTGCCAGGCAATAAACTCTCAACAATTATGAGACAGATTGCTGTGAAATTTTTGATCACACAACTTTTATTTTACTTCCACCGGATGAGTCCCAACAGTGCTGTTGATCCCCTGACATTTAATCTTGATGTGTTTGGATTGAAGTCACACATTTTAGTGTCGTCAAAACACGAGCACAAAAATCAGCAGCATCAGGAGGACGAAATCTGATCACATAATATCCTTACAAAACTCTAACACTGATATCATCAGGTCAGAGTAATTACAGATGAGCAACAGAGTCATTACCTTTTTATGTTACTATTTAAATACAGTAACTGTAGTTGATGGTGGCACAAAAACTATAGACTTATCTTAAAAAATAACTTTAGAGTTTACTTTGACCAGTGTTTTATTAATTTGTTTTTCAATCATTTAAAGATGAAGATGACTGAATACATTCCCAACATGTTTGTTTTGTGACTTTATAGCACAAAATAGGCCATAGGCCAAATGCCCCTGCCCCAATTAAAAATAAAAATAGTTATTATATCAATAGTAAACTTAGTTTTTATGATTCAATACAACAAAATAAACACATTTAAAAGGGGAAGGGTAATAATTACTTGACCTGCACCTGAGCTGTTGGCTTTGAGTAACTGTGGCCTCATGAGCAGTTTAGTTACCATGTACTTGTGTCTTAAAATARGCTGCTTYAAAGCAGCATTGAGCATAAACTAAATCTCCCATAATGTATGTCAATGTATGCGTGGGAATTCCCTGTYGGAAAGTGGGAAMGTTCAGAATTCAAGACTTACCACAACTCACCAGTGAGTAAAATTCTCTTACTTTTAATTTTATTTGTGTTTCCGTAATATTCMTTTCACATTTAGCCCGTCGTACATGTAGTACTTTTCAATGTTTGTAAGAAGACATGTTAAAAAGTTGTTTCTATGCAGGAAATACCACATAGAGCTCATATGTTGTTTGTTRGCGGTGTTCAGCTGTAGCAATGAGATGAGGAACGTGACTTTTTCAGTTTAGTCAAAGTTAAACATGAAACATCAAAGTTAACTACAACTGGCCCTTTGAGGGCCACCGTAACGCTCATGTGGCCCTCAGTGAAAATTAATTTGACACCTCTGTTCTATCACATGATCAGACTCACTGTTCAATCTTTTTATACGTCTCAAGTTTTCTCTTCACCTCATATCGTAGCTGTCACGTCACCTGCTGTACCTCGGGTAAGAATGTGTAAAGTGGGAAAAGGCAGGACATTAATAAGTCCTTTTCATTTTCATGAACTTAAACTACAGAATGCAGAACATGGTGAGTCAAAAGCAGCAGAACAAAAAGAGGATGTTTTGTGGGGTCCCCTTAACCACTAATGTTATAAATCTACCAATTAATCTTTTCTTCCTGGTGAACTATGAGCAAATTATAACCAGGTGTTGGACAAATAAATATCTGCATGTTAGCAAGCAGTCTGAAACATAACCTGCCACGTAGTGAACCTCCATCTAACTTCCTGAATAACACTTAAAGGCCTGAAGAGAAATGAGAGGAGAAAACCATCTTATAAAGTAACGAGGAGGGACAGAAGTAGATTATGTGGAAAAAGTGTGGACGTGAAATGGAAGACAAATCAGAGTGGGCTTTATTTACCAGGGGCTTCCACTCAGGACTCATTAGTCAGTTTAAATGTTSTGAATGTAATGCTATTCATGATAGAACACAAACAGAATTCTGCAGTTTGGAAAAAACAAAACAACACTAAGAGACATTACTGTCATATAGAAACATGATCTGAGTGTGAACACACGTTTCAGGCCTGCAGGGAAGGCTGAAGGAATACTGCTTTGGTCAGCCACACACACACACACACACACACACACACACACACACACACACACACACACA